TAATAGCATTGGATCGGGAAATTTTTTAGTTTATTGCGATGAATATTTCCTCGCACGCCTCGGTGGTTGAGACGCCCGTCTATAGTGAAAGGTCCAGGTTCAAACTCTGGCTGAGGTAATAGTTTTCGCAATAAATGTAAAACAAGTAATATTTAGACGCTAACATCCTGTCACGGCCCTTCAGGCCTTATTCCTTCGAGTTTGCGTTTACGACAGTAGAGCCTCGTGAATTTTCTTAATTTGTTAATAAAATTAGAATTTATAAATTTATTTATCCATTGCGCACCGGAGAGGTTGTTCCCTTCTAGAGCAAATGTTTTCCTATTTCTCTTTTTCAGTCCGAGGAATGCTAACGTTTCATTTCCTGTACGAAATCGCGCGATTGTCGAGTGAACTCAAAGAAGGGATAAAATCGCCCTTTCTCATATATGTTGACTATCCACTTTCCGGAACGAAGTGAAGGACTGTTAAGTGTCCCGGGCGAAGCGATCGGACTCTCGCATCGTCGAAGGATCAAAGTCCTGTCCGCGGCGCGCGACGCGAGAACAATGACGTTCGGAATGGAATTCCAGAACGGAAAGTCCCTGTAATTGGAAATCTCTCTCTTCCTATCCTTCCGTCCCTCTTTTCTCTCGCCGCTATACACAGCCCGACGTGAGGCTGCGGGACGGCGATCGATAGTTCCTTGACACCCGTGGGAAAATCGGATACGAGAGTCCTGCAACGCTCCCGCAGCGAGAAAGGACCCCCGGCTCGGACAAGAACCTAATACGCGCGAAGAATAAGCACGATGAAAAAGAAGAATTAGTCCGGTTTTATTCCCGCGAAGATACTACGAGAGGACAGAACAAAGAGTTTATCCGCGGATTTTTCTTCTCGGTATTATCATCCCCGCAAAAAAAAATAACCCCCCCCCGGTCTCCTCCGGTTTTCCCTTTACGATTTATAATTAACGTAATTACGTGGGACTTTCTTCTCATCGTGCATTACACAAATTCCACGTAAATCTGTCTGCGCTGTGAGTGACAGTGAAAAATCGCGGCCGTTCCGAAAACATTCGCGAAACGCTGCGCACCGCTGAAATTAGCCTCTTTGCAGGAGGCCCAAATCCGTTAAACATTTTAATTAACTTGCGGGTTTGAACAGTGTGATTTAAACGGCGAAACGGTGAAAAACCGCATTTTGCATCGGTGCGTAACGCAGACAAAAATGTAAAATTATCGCGAGGTGCTGAACCAGCGGGATTCAGGATATTTCATCGGCTTCCCCTCGCAGCCCCAGAGACCGTTGTTCGTTTTAAACGAGCTTCGCGTGCAAAAACCCGAGTCTTGATAAATCAATGGGTATACTTGGTATTTAGTAGTGACGTCTGGTCGCCTCGTTAGAAAGGAATTAGCAAGTGGATGCGTTGATTGTTAAGTCGTTTAATCGGATCACGTCGCAGAATCGGCGCTAAGTCCACCCGTCTTCGAGAATAATGTGATCCGACGGATATAGACGGGTACGGCGTTTCTGCCGCCGCCGCCGCCGTCGTCGTCGTCGTCGTCGTAGTCGTCATCGTCAAATATAAGATCAGACTAAGGGACCAGAGCTCCGCCGATTCTTCTCGGGATATCTACATATCGAGAAGCCTCCCGAAGGGAAACTTCGCCGATGGAATTCGTAACGAACCTTCACGTTATCGTCTCGCGATCGACGACTCGCTTCGTTTCGTGTCTCGCTACCGCGAAGTCCTGTCCGCAGGGTAATTAGATTCCGTCGAGTGAGATCAAAGTCTACCGCCATTTCCATCCCCACGAAAAGCTCCGCTTCGCCAAGTTTCTCGGCTGCTGTCGTTTTTCTCCTGGCGGCGAACTCTCAGAGAGCGTGTCGCCCAACTTTTTCGAGATCGCGCCGGAAATCTCCTCTCGCGCAGCGGATGGATGTAATCAATAAGTATGGAAGTAGAGTCGCGCGATTGTTTCTATCGTAAAACACTAAAGCGCTATACGTGTATTGATCTTGAAAATTTTCTACGTCGTCTCGATTCAATATTCTTGAATAAAACTGATTAGATAATTGTATATCGCGATGATATAAAAAAAAGCCATTGTTAATAAAAACAAAATCTTAATATCGATTATTTGTTTGTACGCGTTGAAAAGATTTTCAAAGAGAGCCGCCATCTGACGCGAAAACAAATTACCGATGGCAGAAAGTTTACTATAGTTTACTCTTTCTATACGATATAATTGCGCTCCATCGACTTCCTTAGAAACCGCATTTCGAGCACTTTGCGAGGACGATAAGCGAATACAGAACCGAAGGAGTCTTAAGAAAACCACCGTGCGACAGAGGGACGTTTCGGTCCCGAAGCAGATACGTTTCGATACTCGCGCGCGCCAAGTACGGATTGAACAAGAGAAAGAAGACGGGGCGAGGCAATACCCGAGGGCACCGGTGCGCTTTTACACCCTTTTCACCGTAAATGTCTCGAGATAAACGTCCTACGGGCGAGCCGTCGTACATGTCGCGGCCGTCCGTCGTCTGGCGCAGCCGTTCCGCCGACAGGGGGATCCTTGTGTCAGGACGAATTCATAACAGAGTCATAATTGCGGGACGGGTCCCGCAGTATGCATAATCCCGTAGTTAGCAGTTCTGCTTAACGATCCGCGAGAAGCAATCCCGACGTACCTGCCATGCTGCAGGATGGAGGCGTCTCGGCCAACCCGTCCCTTATTACCACCCTTGCATTCCGTCCGTCCCTCCTTCCCTCCCTCTCTCACCCTCTCTGTCTCTCCTTCCGTCTCGTCACTTCTCCACAGTGTTGGGGCCGTGCCTAAACTACGTACATGGAAGAACGAGGGCACGTACCGCAGGGTACCCGTACGTACGACTGGCGAAACACCGTAGGACCTGAGTGTGACGCGACAAAAACCGTGGATAAAGAGCAGGGGGGTCCGAGAAGAGAGAGAAAGGCGAAAGGGAACAGGAGAGTTCGTTAATTACAATCTCTCTGCCTGCCACCGTTCACCGCAAGCGACCGCGAAGAGGATCGGAGGGAAGGGAGCGCGAAGGCCCCGTGGCAATATCGCGTTCGGACAGTGACGCGTGCCGTCAACGTGGATGGAAGTAGCGAGACAAATACTGCCGGTCTTCAAGGCGGCGGGAAACTTGACTCGTTTCGCCGAAACGCAAAAATCGACGACGGACGATTGTCCGTGTTTTGTAAACTAGTCTATACGATTAAGAGGATGCTAAAGTCGTCTGTTTTACCGACACATTCGAATATAGTTTTTGCGCTGCTGAATCTTTTTATTGGTTTTTACGCCTAAAATAATACCAGGATAAGTTGCGGACCGCATAGCAGAACGTTTTTATACTTGAAACACTCGGGTCAGAAGTCTAATGAGAAAGATATTGGTATTTGAAATTTTCAATTTTTTAATCGTGAGCAATTTGAATTTGGCTTTATAAAATTACAAAATTCTTCCACGCGATTACAGTACGCGTAAAAACAAAGCGGGGGGTTCACGACTTTATATAAAAAACGAAGAGAAATTAAAAATATCAGCATGTGAAGCCTAACCACAATTACTTATAAAGCGATATACGTGACTTTAGCATCCTCTTAAGCACTAATAATGCCCGATCGATTGTCCGACAGCGAGCACGGATAAAATTGCAGCGCAGTCAAGGTGCGAATAGTATCTTGACAAAGCAATTTCGTCATTGTGATTTTTAACGATCTTCGCGATCAGACGATTGGGAATTGTATTAAGTTTACAAAGATTTTATTGGCGTGATTGCGACACATTTTTGCTGGCATTAAAGTACAGAGAAGTTTTAAATAATGCTTTAGACACCGAGCCACGTGAAAGGCCGGATGGAAATATAAAAATGTACGCAAACATAATACAACAAAATTGATACGCGCTTAAATGAGAAGCACGCTAAACGAGTTCAATTAACTCGTCGCGTGCTACGTACCCCTTTCGTTTTTGAAAGAATGTATTTGCAGCAAGGGCACAAAAGTGCTTCCAAATGACAATGGCCAATTAGAGAAGCGCCGCGATGTCGGGCGGATGTTTCGATTCTATCGGAGATAAATGCGTCAGCGCGCGCGCGAATGAACGCTACATTTGTCTGCTTTGTCTCGTCAGCGAGATGCCATCTCGCGAACGCGTCGGCGCGAATAACGAAGCGCCCTTAATTCGGACCCTGCAATTAATTATACTCCCGTTGTCCGCGTAACGGGAGAGTGTCCGACGGCGATTTGAAAAATTCGTTACAACGGCGCGCACGTAACTCGTCGTAATCCGCAGTTCGGCTTTACCGCTTTTATGACGACGCGTTTGAATTCGCACGTCGGCGTCGCGACGCTCCGTCGGATTACGAGCCTGTTCTTTATAGCTCAACTGGCTGCACCAGTTCAGAGTTTATCCCTCTTCGTCTAATGTGGAGGAAAAAAATAAACTCTGAACTGGCGCAGTAAGTTCAGTTGTACACAGAAAAAAGAGAAGATTCTTCTCTCGAAAATACGTTTAGTTTGAACGTGAAAATCTCGAAATGAGATTATGTTGCGTTAAAGGAAGAAAAGCTTACTTGAACGAAGCAATTTTATATAATTCGATAAAAACAAGCATATGCTTATTATTGAAGAATAATTTTCTCGAATGGAAAGGAAACGGTATTGGAAAGAAAATGAGATATTTTCAAATCTCTATTATAGGATGAGTTTCTAATATGAGAAAGTAGGTTTTCAACAACCAAATTCAACCATGAAACCTTCTTCGCAACGATTACGCGATCCAACAATGAATTTTCCACCAAACGGGTTTCGCTCCAAGGGCAATAAATTCACGGTGGAATCAACTGATGATGCCTGTTAATTTAACAGAAACCTGACACTTTTTTTTCCTGTGCAAAGAACAGACCACATAGCGAGTGGCGACTCGAACCGACCGATTTACCGACGACCTCAAGTCACGCTAGTAGTAAACGTATATCAGCTCACTCACCCGTGTGCGTCCTTTGATGGGCCTTGAGATGCGAGCTCTTGGTGTACACCTTCTTGCACCCGGGGAACTGGCATTTGTGTATCCTGCGTTTCGTGTCGGGCGGACTGTGCTCGTTGCTCCTCGCGTGGTGCCTGTTAGCCACGGTGGTCGTGGCCGCGGTCGCGCCCGCGTGCGCGTGTTGCGTGCCGGCTACCGCGGGGAAGCCGTTCGCCGTGACGGAGATCAGTCTGCAAAAACGCGATTTGCTTGCTCTCATTGGCCGTGTTTTCAGCCTCATTGTAATTAGTCCGTTGCGCGCTGTCGAGGCGCGACACATCCGTAAAACGGGGCCCCGTGGCGTGTCACGGTCCGCCAGCCCCGGCGAGTTTTAACGCGCGCGAAATAGCAAGTAGCGTGATCGGTACAACGGTTGAGTAATCGGCGCACGTCTCGTGCTACGAAAGAAACGCGAGCGAATCGAGAGGAGCGCAATTCCGGCGACGGGTTAATGATGGATCGCGAGAGCGAATTGTTTTAAGTTTCTTACTCCGTAGCGCAGCGAGGCTACTTCCCGACAACGTCCTGACTTTTTTCAACAAGCCCGTGTCTCTCTCTCTCTCTTTTTTTTGTAAATTCCGTAGAAAATTGCCGGGAACGAATTGGATGGGATAAGTCGACCCGGAAAGTACGGCCACTTTATGTCAGGTAATGCCAGTTACAGTTAATCATGATAATTTCCGAGCGAGACGTAACTATACGGCGCATCCGTCTTTCGTACGGCAAGTATCGCGTTAGCCACTTGCGGCCTTCAATTCTAAAGGCAATTAAGTTTTCATTAAGTAAGAATAGCAGCGGCGACGGAGAGACGTCAAAGTGGAGGCGCTGCTTCGGAAGCGGACGCTTCTTTCGCCGACCTTTCATTACGTAACGCGGAGCAAGCGAGAAGAGGGCTGTACGGTGATTCAGTGAGGCAGATACGCGAGTTTTACGACACTCACCTTGCGACACCCTGCGCGTTCCCGGAGGTAACCCTGACGATAGCACTCCTCCCGCCCGTGCCGTGAAGGTTGAGGTTGTGCACGTCGAGCATCGAACTCCCACTCGACGAGTGACTGGAGTTGGAATGACCTTGACCCGACCCGGGACTCGACGGCGGCGTCAGGATCTGACCTTCACTTTCGCACCCGCTGTCCTCCTCCTCCTCGATCTCCTGCGGCGGCAAAATCGCGCCACATTATGCAACGAGATTACGATTAATAACGTAACGGGATCGATTGCACGGCCCCGTGAATCGCCGTCGGCGATCGTATATCGAACGGGTTACGGCGGACAAATAAACCGATGAGAGTCGAATCGACGCCGATCTTGCGAACTCGTTGCGTTCAGTCTCGCTGCGTCAACGCAACGTTGAATCGAAAATTGTACGTGCGGGAATACGTGACGTTAGGCGGACTTGAAAAGTATCCGGAAATAAGGTGTTGTCTTCGTAAATAGTATTTACGACAAATAAATCAAACGCTATTTATATAACGTCCGCGATTTTTAAACTTCTCCCGCGCGACTCTTAAAGTTTAAAACAGTTAACTTTAGAAAATGTTCTCAGGAGATAAATTCCGATAATAATTTTCAGAACAAAAACTCCGCCAGACGTAAAACACGTATAAAGCGACGTATTTCAACTTTGCATTAAATTTATTTGGAATTAATTATTTTTATAATCTGGCGCAGATTTGTACACGTCGGATAAAACTTATTAAATAGCGTTTCCGATGGTGAATTTTTCCGACTGCGTTTTCCGATTAAATTGTGGACACATCCGAAAGAATTTGACTAAAAAACCGATTATATTTGTCATCGGATATACAACTTAATTGGATATATCCGTTCGTTATTATGTAATTGGATCATCCGATTGTATTTAATTTTTCTCAGTGTAACCATCGCTGATTTAAAATGCAACGTACCTCATGCTCCTCGTCCTCCTCAAGGTCTTCGCTCGGTTCTTTTTTAAGAATAAGCGCCGTGCAAGAGAGGGAAGGTGAACTGTCCCAGGACAGTGCTGAACACGCCGAACTCGCCGAGGACATCGATAAGGAGTCGAGGTGGCGATCGAGAAGATCCCTGTCGCGGCCATTGTCGTTATGATCGCCAGGACTGAATTTAATGTCGTCCAGACAGAGGGGATCTCTTTCGTCTGACGACGTCGTCACCTGATTTATAAAGAAGAGAGGCGTTGTTTTAATTTCTTCAAAAGACATTAATCCCTTCCTTCGGGGAATCCGAGGAGGAAGATGACATAAACTCGAATATTTTATTATATATTCACGTAAAAGTGATAAAAGTATGTACGCGAAAATACAGATTGTTTAAATACAATTAGAGTTTGAAATATATCGGAGTGGAATTCTCTCTGGGATAATTTGATAGGCAAGTTAATAGGCTGCGAGCATCCGCTGATTACACACCTCCATTTTGATTGGGGCGTCAAATTGTGCGCTCGTTCCGGTGGACGTCGTCCATGAGATCGATGGCGCCCTGAAGAGGTTCCAGGGCGCTGTGTCCAGTTCCGTGGGGAGTTTTTTGTACGATTGTAACTTCGGCTCGTCCTTCAGGTACCTCTCCATCTCGTAGCATGTCTGAAAGAGGAGACAAGAGGGCTTGTTAGGAGACTGTAGCGACTTAAGTATCCCGCCGAGCCACTCCGAAATGGTGGCAATGGGCGGTACTGTGGCTTAAATTTAATAGCCATAAAAGGGGGGGAGGCAAGGAAACCGATTACGGATCGGATGATATATATCGCTTTAATAGTAATTTGCTCTTTACACTTCTGTACAAAATATTTAGCGAATATTTCAGGCGAATGTTTCCATCGTCCTGCGCAAGAAAGGCACAAATCGCCAGAATAATGTAGTGGGTTTATAATGATTTTTGTCTTCGATTCTAGCTGTAATTAAATTATGTTAAATCGGACATGCGACAACGTTGCGATTAGATAAATTGTCAAACGCCTAATGTGAAACATTTCTTTTCCAATATTAATTTCCCTATACAGTGACGAACGCTCGCGGTGATCGTGCGGTCCGCAAACGCTGGAGAAATTATCTTTAGAAGTCAAGCATCCCATATGGGAAAGTACATCGCCGTCAACGCAACTACTCGCGAGTTTGCGAAGTTGATGCTCTCCCATAGGCTGTGCCAGTTTGGTACAGTTCCTTGGAGAGAGTACAAAGTTATGCTACTCACTGCGAGGAATTATGCACCAACTATACCACACAAATGAGATTATAGCACCCCGTTTTGGCTAAGTCTCCTTCGGGTCCTCCGTCCTGTCGACTTCTCTTTGAACGACGGCCTCGTACAGCGAATAATCGCGAAATAATAGCTACGTCATAATATCTCGCAATTTTAATACGGGATCGCGTAAGTTTGAAGTGCTAACAACATTATGAAACGACGGTCTGCTCGGTTTTGCAAGAATTCGATTATCGATTCCTGCAGGAACCGATTAAGACCGTCCATTTTCGCTTCAACGCCGCTGTTTCCTACTTTAATGAAATTCTTTACATTGTTATAGTCAAGGAAAATGTAAAAAGACACCGTTAACGCGAGCGAAAGGCGGAGGGTGGATGTAAAAATAAGAAATATTCAATGTGTTTGAACTTGACGTATCGTCATTCGCTATTTTAATTAATTGCAATCTTGGGGTTATTTTAGTAATAAGTATTTATATCTTCAATTCGTACTGCTTCGTTATTTTTTATTATTATTGAATTGCGCGATACCATCACGAATGTCGCAATCAGGATCACCTTTTTCAGTAAGCTTCTGTAATTACCAACAACAGTGTTAATTATTAAAACTGGCACGATATTCTGCGAGAGTAAATTATGCTAGCGTTGAACAGCTAATATTATTCTTCTTTCCGCCTGCGAGCTAAAAATGATAGCTGACGCAAGCATTCTTTGTGCACTTTGGTATCTTCCTTCGGGCATTGTCTGCCAATTTATTATTCGCCCTAACGGTTACCATCAGGAGCGACGGTTCTGTCTGACGCTATTACAAATGGAGCTATTCGCCTTCTATAAAGCTACTTTAAGAACGTTTGTTACGTGCCGACGCTGGTAGCGATATAATATAGTCCATCGAGAAATATGTTCTTATAACGTCACGGCAGTCACACGTCTTAATAAAGCCCTTGCAGTGGACAATTGCTGTGTCCATCTTCGCTTCTTAAAAACATTTAGGAACACAATTAAATCCTCATTCCTTCGAATTTGTATTTAAAAATACAATAATTTGAAAAATAAAGCGCTTACAGCGTGTGACGCGGCAACCGAGCGAATTAGGATGCGCCGTTTTGCGTCGAGTGAAATCGGCTTTTGAAACCGCAGGCATAAAATTAAAAGGAGGAAGCGCGCGCGGGGCTCCCTAGTTATCTTTAATGCCATAATTTGCGATAAGTACGTCTAGAATCAAACAACGAGCAAGAAGTCAGGTCTCTATTTTCCCGCCTGACAAAGATTCTTCGGGAACTGCAAAAAATGGCTCCGCGCCGAAGTTCGAGGGCTGCGTCTAATGCCGTCGGTCCCTTCTGTGAGAAAAATAATCGCCGCCGGGCTCCTTCATTATTCACGATTAAAGTTCGTCCGGGGGCACCGTGGGTACGACTAACGGCGTTAATATAACTTGGAAAGGAATTTTATCACTCGCTTAGGGACCGTTTCTCCTTCCCTAGGGCTTGCTCCAGCATCAACTGAACTTTACTAATCCTGACCTCCGAGGCACGTTCTATATATAGACGGCGACTGATCTATCCCGTCGACTTAATCTGTCAGAAAATCTTCGAGGAAAACAACGTTAATCGTCCTTGCAAATAGAACAACATTAACGCGCTCGAAGAATATTGATGGATTCTGTCGGACTGAAGGCACTCGATGTCTAAATAATTAAAATGTTTCGAAGTCATTTTTAACGAAACGTATCAACCGAGGGGTAAACCGCTGAGGGCATTGTGGTGTACAGATTTGCGGCATTGCTGGGCATTACTAGGTATTTTTTGGGCATAAATACCTATGATGCAGCTTCGTGGGAGATGTCTGTGTCTCTACTAAACTCTCTCTCCTAATTAAAATTAAAACAAAAAAGATTTTATCAAATATCGAGAATAATCAGACATCGATAATGGATCGTGTTTATATGGCGAAAACTCTAATATAAAAATTCCGTCGATTGCTACGAGGTAACGTACGCCACATTAATATTGATTCTATGCAGCGTCGTAACCCACCGCAAAACAGGAAGCGAATGCATTTACGAGGGTACGTACGACTCGCGTTCGGAGAAACGGAGCTCGACCTTTCGCAGTTTCTAGATTATTCCGGGAAGGTGGATGGCTTCGCGGAAGATATTTTGATTTTCTTTGTTTCCGTAACGGTAAGCCGGCCTCGGCGCGCCGGCCTAGGAGCGCGCCGCGCGGCGGAATCGCTGGGAAAAATAACCGGGAGCTTTCCGGTTAAGCGCACACCCTGCGGCTTTACGACTTCGCGGAGACGAGCCGCGGCGCGTCCTTTCGCCATTGGCTCCGTTAAATCCAAAACTGCGTAATAATTTAGAAGCTCACGGCGGGGCCCGTCTGCGTGCCCGCCGGTCGATTACAATAGCCACACTAACGTTTTCCGCCGGAGTGCCCCATAAGCATCCGAATTGCGGAATTCTCTATTACGCTTTTCGCGATGAGCCCGCAGGCCATTCGTCCGCGGATTTATGCGACCCTCCGCCGCTCTCTTCGTCATCGCCATGAAACCCCGCCAGCGAGATTGTACAATATTTGAGATCTTGTTCGCTCATCTCATTTACACGGCCGTTTTAAGTACGAGATCATCGTTGCTCCCCCGCTATCACGCGCCATTCTGTTCGAGTTCTCGCTTACACATATGTATAAAAGGAGAGGAGCTCCCTTCGTATTTCGAGTTTCGCGCCCCTTTTGCTCTATCACGCGGTCATGGCCGCGAGCGGTGAGGGCGCAGCGGAGAGCGAGTGGTGCCACGCGATTCGCCAATCTAGTTCTGCTTTCTCACACGAGTCGAGTCGAGGCGCACTGCGCGCAGAAGTCGTGTGACTGATGTCGAGTTACAAAGTCGTATTCTTACGAGTGCTTTTGCCTTTTGCTACTGGATCCGACCGCCACGATCTCTTCTGCTCGTGCTGTTCGATTAAGTCATTGGGACTTTGGATGAAGGCTTTCTACAATCAGTGCCGATCGGAAGATCGGATGTCAGTCGAGCATCCTGCAAGGGAGAGTGGTTAAATTCGCGCTGAGGCGTCCCAAAGCGAGGTTGCGGTCACATGCGTTGCGTCATACTCTGCCGTTCCTGGCAACAGGTAATTTCGGACCTTCTGGACGAGGCATGTTGTTCGTCCAAAGATCAGAGAGAGAGAGCGATTTCGATTGGTAGGCTCTGAGTACGATTTCTAGCCACCAATTTGATCTTTGAGTTTCCAGAAGGTATTTATTCTACTCACTGTACATATTCCTTTCATTCTTCTGAGAGTCGTTACGGTGACAACCATCACGTGCGTAGTTCGCTGCAAATACGAGAAGGTCGTGTGGTTCACCGCCGTAACGTGCAATACATTTAGCCGTGATCCGACGATAGAAATCGGAACGGCACAGAGTTTACCGAGCAGGCACCGAAGGAATCGCTTCAAGGGCGATCTGCCCCGTCATACTGTAAGCAACTTTCATCCCTCCCGCATCGAGACCAGGTTCACAGAGACGAGGCAACTGACAAGATACATTCCTGCATTTCTTTTCTCATTTCTTCATTTCTTTTAATTTCATATTGAGTTATATGCAACATGCTCGCTAGGAACGCTCGTTCTTTTATGTACGGAATTGAACCAGACTGTATTAAACCTACTGCAATTCTTTTTCTTTTAGGAAGATTTCTTAACGCTAACTCAATCCCTCATCCTTCGTGAATCGTCTCAGTACCTCACGGTACAACATAACTTAATTAAGTGCGCGTCGCGACGAATTGCTGCGCGGCGTGTTCAATATTGATAAACAAGTAGATGATCTCGAAGTTACGCCGCCAATTTCCACGGGCAGTATTCCTCTCGCGGGACCTGAGCAAACACTCGGGGGAGTGCGAATTTCTTTTTTTTTTCTTTACGATGTTTACTTTCTTTCAGCTGACGAAGGGATCGCGCTCTGCGAGGGACAGTGGCAATAAAAAAATTCCACGGATCGATAGGCCGAATGCACGATGAAAAAGGACGATGAAAGGAGACCGTCTCGCCATTATGTTTTTATAGGTAAACCTGTAAGCCATTTGCAGCGGATTTATGAGGTCCCAGCAATTCCGCTGCATCACATACGCGATCAGCGAAAACATTCTCGCCGCTCGTCAAACATCGTGTCGGACGTTAAAGTGCAATTATTCAGATATCGGGACGTAATATTTTAAGCGCGATTGAATTTCAGGCTTTTTATAAGTGTCGGTATGTATATCTACGTAAATACGGCAGATGAAATGTTATACCGTGGACTAAATATCTTCCATCGGAAGGCACATTTATTATTGCTAGTTCTGTGATGCTAATCGAATTCTGTCAATCGGTTAACATTCACCGG